TCGGGGTCACTGGACTGAATTGAAATAAAATGGTGTATGGCAAAATTACCGCAATAACTCCTTCAGGCCGACGATGAGAGACTTCAACATGTTCTTAATGTCAATTCTATTTCAACTAAAGGTCTTTGGATTGCTGTGCATGTAGGATACCTTTTTCAAAATCTTCCTAAACCAGTGTTGCTCTTTATTATTATGTTTTGCATTCCTGCGTCATTGTTTTCCGTTATGACTATTCCATACATTTTCGGTATAGAATAATCATCCAGCCTTATAGATTTTTGATATATATTCTTTATAAATTGCTCTTTATTATTATGTTTTGCATTCCTGCGTCATTGTTTTCCGTTATGACTCTTCCATACATTTTCGGTATAGAATAATCATCCAGCCTTATAGATTTTATGTGTTATATATTATTATATCCCCCCTAACAAAAATAAAGATCCAATTATCTGCCAAAACACTAGCTCTCGACACTAGTTACAGATGACATAAACCTCCAACAAAATGAGAATCGTGTACACTTGCATTATGTTCAGCAATTCAACAAATCAGTATTATCCCGATATTATAACATTATTTGTGTCACATTATCACGATATTTGTTGTACAAATACATTGTAAGCCATAGAAGCAAAGTATGAAGAAGTGTGATATTTTCAGTAAATTTAGTAATATGATATGACTATATCAACAATATGTTATGAATTAAAAAGATATTTTTTTAATAAAAAAAAGTATTTCTTTATAATCGCAGCCTAGATCTACCCTTTTGTAAATCCATTTAACTTGCTCTCTGCGTAACGATCTTCTGAATAACGGTCTATGTAAAGCATCTATCAGTTGCCATCTTAGAATTAGAAGTATTAAAGTTTGAGTAACTCGCATTTTCATTGGAGGACACTATTATATTTATTTCAAAACAATAATCAACGAAAATATTCGTATAATTTAATAAAATTACTGTAAATCACTATAAATCATGAATAATGAACAAAATTTAAACAAAAACAGACCACAGACCAGAGATAACATAGTAAACATAGTAGTAGTATTTTGGATAATAAAAGTGTGTATTTTGGGTGATATTCAACTACTAATCGACATATATATTTGAGATAAGATCAACATTATAAAATTATAAAGCTATAATAGTATACGGGTTTGTATTTGTTTTCAATGGCACATTATGTAAATGAAATCTTATTAAATAAAGAACGTAATTAAGATTCGTCAAGTTGTTTTCAAACAGGCTACAAGGGGCAACGTTTCCCAAATCAGATCTACTAAATTGTCTGGCGACAAAGTAAGACACTAACTTAATTGAACTCTAATAGATTTAATAGGCATCGCGTCGTCTTTGATAGTGTGCTTAATAATCCTCCTACGTAATCTGTGCATTAACTCGATAACGGACCCGATAAATTATGGACTTAGTGACGCAGTCGCCACCCAGGGGATCGGCACGAACTGGTCAATAGTCTTATTTATATGACAAAGCCCGAATTGACCAAGAATTAGCCAAGATGATTTATTTCTATTATTTGTGTTATCCTTTTTTCAGTTTTTAATACAGTTAAATTAAAACTACTTACATTTGATACAAAGAAAATTAATTAATTGTAAGATCAACATTAGAATATAATTTCTTTAAATGTGTCTTTTTCCTTTTTAATGCTATTTTTCGTACATGGGTGATTTTATTCTAATTGTGATTGTTTGTTTTGTACTGTTTTCTCTTATTCGTTTATTATTATTTTAATACAATTTATACCTTTATCATCATTTTCAGCTTATTCAACCATTTCCAATTATGTGTTATTTTCCTGACTTTTCCTCTTTGTAGTTGGGTCCATTGTTGTCTATTGTTGGCTATACGGGCCCAAGTTATCCCTGCTGGTTTCCCAATATCATGGTCCCATCTCAGGTTCGGTCTTCTTCTACCATGCTGTAATTTTTGTAGTCCATCTGTTGTCCGTTCTTCTTGCCAGGTGTCCTGCCCATTGCCATTTGAGGGATTTGACTCTTTGGATGTGCATCTATTACCTGGGTCTTTCGTCGTATCCAGTTTATTCTTTTAGGTCTCTCTTGGTTATTCCCAGCTTATTTCGTTCCATTGAGCGTTGTGTGACCTACAGTTTCTTTATGATGTCTGTTTTAAGTGTCCAGGTTTTGTATGCTTAAGCCATCACTGGTAGTACACATTGGTCGAATGTTTTCTTCTTTAAATAAAGTGGAATTTTAGATTTGAATGTGATTGAGTTCCTTCAATAAGTACTCCATGCTAACTTAATTCTTCTGTTGATTTCTGGTAGTAGAGATCTAGAGCTTTGTATTAGTTGTCCCAAATATATATTCTTCTACTATTTTCAGTGATGTGTTATTTATTAGAACGTCTTTCCTTTCCACTAGTTTGTTGTACATTACTTCAGTTTTTGCTAAATTCATTGATATATAAATAATAATATAACATAATATTCATATTGATATGTCATGCTTTATCACAATTCTGATGTTGACACCATAATTGTGATAAAGCATGACATAGTCCTAGAACAGGACGCAGTATAGTCTGGAAATTTTCTTTCAACATAATATATATAACATAATATTCATATTAATTAATAACAACAAATTAATTCTGGTGTCAACACCAGAATTGTGATAAAGCATGACATATCAATATGAATATTATGTTATATATATTATGTTGAAAGAAAATTTCCAGACTATACTGCGTCCTGTTCTAGGACTGGTTTATTTGCTATTTTTTTTGTGACAATACATAATTCCAGACTAATGTATATAATACTACAATTTTATTACTGAAGAATATTTATGAAATGTGTGTCTTAGATCAGTACCGTCGATGAAAAAATGAATGAACACTTAGCGTCAGCAATAAACAAATATTAATATCAGGTATCTAGTAAAAATACATTTAGTTATGTTTAATATTTGAGCTATTTTATAGATAGATATACATATTTTTCTAACATATTTCTTTTCTTTTCTAGGTAAGTACCAATCGTAGTGTCAAGCAGGTCTTCAAGTAAAACAGTAAGTTAAATCATAAAGACTAAATCTAGATAAAAAAGTATTGCTATGGTATGAATATGGTTTAAGTCATTTCTTTCCCGTTTTTTTTGTAAATATTCACTTTCTCAGTTTTATCTATATTTCTTTTAGACTAAGATCTGCCTGCAGAATTATTACGCTTATTGTATTTTTAATCAAAACCGTATTTTTAAAAAATAAACTTTTTAATAAAAACTTCTGGCTAATGTAGGTCACAAAATTGGAGAAGACCAGAGCGGATTTAGGCCAGGAAGGTCTTGTGTCGATAACCTCTTCTTACAACAACTACTGGAAAAACAAATTGCCGTAGATAGAGAAGTGCACCTAGCCTTTATAGATCTAGAGAAGGCATACGATAATGTACCACACTCGAAACTTTGGGAAGCTCTAGAAGTAATCGGAACTGATAGAGAACTAATAGAAATTATAAATGAACTCTATAGAGACAACAGCTCATATATTAAAGTTGGGAAACATCTATCTGAACCTATAATAACAACTAAATGTTTAAGGCAAGGTTGCAGTATATCTCCATTGCTTTGGTTTGGTTTGGTTTGGTACATAGAACTTGCACTAAAAGAGTGAAAACGAAAATGTGGTGGAATGGGTATACCAGTGGAAGAACATATTTTATTTCGCTCAGCTTTGCTGATGACCAAGTGGTGATCGCTCAAGATTCTTACGACCTAGAGTTTATGTTAAACAGACTACATGAAGAATATGAAAGATGGGGATTAAAAATCAGCTTTAAGAAAACCGAATTTCTGGTGGTTAACTCAGAAACCAATTTTGAACTCCTGCTGAATGACGAAGTGCAGCTTAGCCAGATAGAACAAATTAAATATTTGGGCGTTAATATTAACAAAAGAGGTCTCGAACAACAGGAAGTTAAAATAAGGATTCAGAACGCAAAACGAGTAATCGAATGCTTAAACTCAGTTTGGTGGGATAGACAGGTATCCAAGAGGAATTGGACAAACAAATTGGAAAACGACTTGGACAGAGCCTGGTTGAATCCGTCTTGCCGGTTGAATCCGTGCTATGGATGTGAGGTATGGACGGTTAACTCTGGTATGCACACCGATATGGACTACCTCAGGCGAAGTGCACGAGTATCTAGAAGGGAATGCGTGCGCAACGAAGTGATAAGAAGAAGAAGGGATGCTCAGGACACGGTGGTTGATAGAATAGAAAGAAGATCGCTGAACTGGTTTGGGCACCTCATGAGAATGCCAGATTATCGATGGCCAAAACGAGTCTTTCAATGGGTTCCGTCGCAACGAAGAAAACGAGGAAGACCGCGACGATCCTGGAACGACGGAATAAGAGAATCCATGGAAGCTCGGCAATTAGAGGACGATGATGTCTTTGAGATAGACTAGCTTAGAGGCGGGAAACGGGAAGACTGCGTCAGCAGTAGGAGACTTACCCTAATGATTTGTTTATCATTGTAATGGTTTCCACCCGTAATATATAAATAACCTTATTTTTACGTATATTTATGAATAGGAGAATAAACTTTTAACAGGATGCCAATCAAAAAGTTGCCGCAACTATGTTTAAATAATAATATGCCCTGCTGTTTCAGAATCTTTACTGCATCAAAGACTTTCTTGATACAGGTTAAGCCTATTCTATAGCACTTTCTATAGCCTCTGTTTTAATCCGCACTTTATTCCTGCTGAACATTACTTAGTAGTTCTTTTTTGGTTTTAGAATTAGATCCTTAAAGGACTTCCTATGCCTGTACTTCTATCTGTTTCTCTAATGGCCTGATTTTCTCTGATATAGAGTTTCACTGCACTACTTGGAGGGAATTTATGCACTCTCTTCTGAAAATAATTCTGTTAAATTTATATGCTAGTGCTTCAAAGATACGAAAAGGAACTGTGCTAGTAAATAAAAACTAGAATTTGTTACTAATCTGCTTCCCTTAACTTCTCCACGCGTCGTATTTCAGTTTTAACGAAGCGTTCCTCCTTTCCGAGCCGACCTGTTCTTCGGTAGTGTCTCCTGCACCGTGCTTACCGGTCCCAAGGCGTCAGTCGTCCGTTCAAAATGCTAATTCTCCTCTACCGATACCTCGATCTCTAATTAGTGAACTAAGCGCGAGGTAGCCTTTATCCGCGAGAATTTATGGCCTTAACAACGATGAGGGAGCTTTTTTCAGATGCGATCTCAACGAGGTGAGATACTACAAAACGTTTTTCCGTGATTTTCGATGTCTTTTTTCGTATAGATACAGAATTTGTAGTAAGTATGTTGCTATCGAGAGCTACCGAATATTAGGGATTACTCTTGAGATCCTGTGCTAGTGTTTTAGTGAATTGGTTTTAATCATCTCCCAATGATGCTAAAATGTTTAGCGAATACTCCGCTTAAGTTATATCTCATATACTGGGTGACAATTTGAAAACGAACAGTATTTAATATTGCCTCTACCCATGATAGTCTGCAAATGTGGCGAAACACGTCAATTTACATATCAAGGGGGACAATTTTTGAGGCATTTGTTGTCGTGTTACTTTCAACCCTTTGACCCCCAGGGCACCTACCCCTAAAATTTTAAATAGCAACCCCTATTTACAGTTGAGGGTTGGAACCTTTGGTGTTACACAGCAAAATAAAAACACTAAATCACCACAATACACCAAAACACTTTTACTTTTACACTGGACGCGCGTTTCGCTAACCATGTTAGCATCATAGTTTATAATCATCTGCTGATGATGCTAACATGATTAGCGAAACGTGCGTCCAGTGTAAAAGTAAAAGCGTTTTGGTGTATTGTTGTGATTTAGTGTTTTTATTTAACCTTTATTTCTTTAACCATTTTTGTGTTTCTTATAGAATTCTACATGTTATATAACTGCATTATTTTTTTGTCAAAATTGTGATACTTAACCTCACAAATGGATGAAATGTATTTTGTACATTAAAATTAATGCATCTCCTTGAAAAATTATGATAATGATAATGAAATACTGGAAGGCTTACCTTTACTACTTTATGAATTTTTCAAAATGAGTTCCATTTTTCTCCAAGCACAAGTACAACCGGTATTCAAACTGTTCTCGGACGTTTTAAAAATTTTCAGGTGAAATAGCTCTACTTCTTCTTCTTCTTCATGTACCGTCTCCATATCGGAGGTTGGCTATTATCATTGCTATTTTGACCTTGGAAGCTGCGGCCCTAAATAGGTCAGATGACGTGATATTAAACCATTTTCGCAGATTTCTGAGCCAGGATATTCTTGAAGCTAATAGCTCTACACTCCTGTACAATTCTTTGTTGTAATTGTTCAATGGAGTCTGGTTGAGTTTTAAATACAACGGATTTCAAGTGGCCCCATAAGAAAAAGTCCAGCGGTGTCAGATCTGGTGACCTAGGTCGCCATTCTATGGGTCCCCTCCTACCAATCCACTGCTCTCAATGGTTATCCAACCACTCTCTTACTGGGCGTACACAATGCGGAGGTGCTCCGGCCTGTTGGAAGTGCAGCAAATGCTTATCTAGAAAAATATTTCCATTGGTGTCCCTTTGATTTTCCACCTCACGAATTATAAGAGGTTCTATAGCTGTATCTAACATTTCTGCACATATTTCACCATTTAGATTTGCATTAATGAAAAGAGGACCGATGATACTATTGCCTAATATACCCGCCCAGACATTTATTTTTTGAGGGTATTGCGTATGCCCCTCTCTAATAATGTGAGGATTGATGTCGCTCCAATAACGACAGTTTTGTTTGTTGACCTTGCCATTTAAGTAAAAAGTGTCACTGAAACAGATATTCTTTATTCCTATAACCTGGGCTGAGTAATAATCTTCTCCGTCATAATTTCGCAAAAACATCGAAATTCATTGCACTTATTACTATTTGAAATTTTAAACTTCAGCAAATACATTGTAACTTTGAAAGATTACTCATTGATACTCGTATTTCATTTTAATGCCCGAATTTACTTTTGTGAATATTTCCAATCGTTTCTTTCAATAGCCAGATTAAACAGTGTTCCTTTCACATCAAAGCGCGCTGAATTTTTCATCGTTGCCAACGTTTTCCACGGTAATTCGTCAAATTTCCCCGTAACGGAAAAATAAAGCGAAAAGGAAACAAAGCCGAATAAAAAACTAATTCCAAGATAAAAGACGGTCTGCCGCGTTTTT